ACGGAGTTTTGCCCTTGTTACCCAGGCTGCAGTGCAATGGCGGGATCTCGGCTCACCGCAACCTCCGCCTCCTCGGTTCAGGCAATTCTCCTGCCTCAGCCTCCTGAGCAGCTGGGATTACAGGCACACGCCACCATGCCCAGCTAATGTTTTGTATTTTTAGTAGAGACGGGGTTTCACCATGTTGACCAGGATGGTCTCGATCTCTTGACCTCATGATCCACCGCCTCGGCCTCCCAAAGTGCTGGGATGACAGGTGTCAGCCACTGCGCCCAGCCTCAGCTGCAATTTTCAAGGATTACCTTTAAAAAAAAACTTAGACCCAGATCGGTGGCTCACCCCTGTATTCCCAGCACTTTGCAAGGCCAAGGTGGGTGGATCGCCTGATGTGAGGAGTTCGAGACCAGCCTGGCCAACATGGTGAAACCCCGTCTCTACTAAAAATACAAAACTTAGCCAGGTGTGGTGACGGGCACCTGTAATCTCAGATACTCAGGAGGATGAGACAGGAGAATTGCTTGAACCCAAAAGGCGGAAGTTTTAGTGAGCTGAGATGGTGCCACTGCACTCCAGCCTGGGAGACAGAGTGAGACTAGGTCTCTAAGTAAAAATAAGTAATAAAATAGCATGAGATGACTGAACATACCAGAGCCAGCACTGAGCAGATGAAAGACAACAGTTTATTAGTTACACAGACGCACACGGAAGGTGTCTCGTATGCCAGGAGGGTGCAGAGGGCCGTGGGAGGTGGGCTGTGTGGTAATGAGGGTGCTTCCTGGCCCTGGCAAGAGGATGTGCTTTGCTTTTGTGAATCATCTCACGGACTAGCAACCAGCAGGGTGGTGAAAACTTGTCAGAGTGAGGACCAGACGGGGTGCAGCTGGGTCAGCTGCTAGGAGAACTAGCCAGGTGGGGAGCCTTTCCCACTGGGCGGGCAGCGTATCAGGTGAGAGCATAGGCACTCACTCTTAGGACTTCGGGGGTCTTCTTGGGACCAAAGATGCCAAGGAATGACTGATGTGTAGAATCTTTTTTTTTTTTTTTTTTTTTTTTTTTTTTTTTGAGACGGAGTTTCACTCTTGTTACCCAGGCTGGAGTGCAATGGCACGATCTCGGCTCACCTGCAACCTCCGCCTCCTGGGTTCAGGCAATTCTCCTGCCTCAGCCTCCTGAGTAGCTGGGATTACAGACACGCGCCACCATGCCCAGCTGATTTTTTGTATTTTTAGTAGAGACGGGGTTTCACCATGTTGACCAGGATGGTCTCGATCTCTTGACCTCATGATCCACCCGCCTCGGCCTCCCAAAGTGCTGGGATCACAGGCTTGAGCCACCATGCCCGGCTAGAATCTTATGATATATCCAGACAAAAGCCTTTTATGGCTTGGGCACCATGACTTACACATGTGTTTCCAAGACTTTGAGAGGCCAAGGTCAGAGAAACCCTTGAGACCAGGAGTTCCAGACCAGCCTGGGTCACATACTGTGACCTAACCTCTACCAAACAATAAAGATAAAAAATATTTTTCTGTTGGGTGCAGTGGCTCATGCCTATAATCCCAACACTTTGAGAGGCTGAGGTCAGGAGTTCAAGACCAGCCTGGCTAACGTGATGAAACCCCATCTTTACTAAAAATACAAAAATTAGTTGGGCATGGTGGCACGTGCCTGTAATCCCAGCTACTCGGGAGGCTGAGGCAGGAGAATGGCTTGAACTGGGACCCAGGAGGTGGAGGTTGCAATGAACCAAGATCAAGCCAATGCACTCCAGCCTGGGCTACAGAGTGAGACTCTGTTTTAAAAAAAAAAAAAAAAAAAAAAAAAAATCTTTTTAAGAGACAGAGTCTTGCTGTTGCCCAGGCTAGAGTGCAAGGCTGTGATCGTAGCTCATGACTACAGCCTTGAAGTCCTGGGCTCAAACAATCCTCCTGCCTCGGCCTCCTGCTAGGACTACAGGTGTACAACGCCACCACCAGCTTTTTTTTTTTTTTTTTTTTTTTTTTTTTTTTTTTTTTTTTTTTTTTTTTGAGACGGAGTTTCACTCTTGTTACCCAGGCTGGAGTGCAATGGCGCGATCTCGGCTCACCGCAACCTCCGCCTCCTGGGCTCAGGCAATTCTCCTGCCTCAGCCTCCTGAGTAGCTGGGATTACAGGCATGTGCCACCATGCCCAGCTAATTTTTTGTGTTTTTAGTAGAGACGGGGTTTCACCGTGTTGACCAGGATGGTCTCGATCTCTCGACCTCGTGATCCACCCGCCTCGGCCTCCCAAAGTGCTGGGATTACAGGCTTGAGCCACCGCGCCCGGCTTTTTTTTCTTTTTTTGAGATGGAGTCTTACTCTGTCACCCAGGCTGGAGTGCAGAGGCACAATCTCAGCTCATTGCAACGCCCCTATCCTGGGTTCAAGCGATTATCCTGCCTCAGCCTCCTGAGTAGCTGGGACTATAGGCATGTACCATCACACCCAGCTAAGTTTTTATCTTTAGTAAAGACAGGGTTTCGCCATGTTGACCAGGCTAGTCTTGAACTCCTGGCCTCAAGTGATTCACCCACTTTGATCTCCCACAGTGCTGGGATTAAAGGTGTGGGCCACTGCACCCAACCTAATTTTTTTTGGGAGAGTTGGGGGGTCTCATCTTGCCCACCCTGGCCTTGAACTATTTAACTCAAGCAATCTTCCTGCCTCAGTTTCCCTAAGTGCTGAGATGATAGGTGTGAGGCACCAGGCCTGGCCAGAATTACCTTTTTTTTTCTTTTTTTTTTTTTTTTGAGACGGAGTTTCGTTCTTGTTACCCAGGCTGGAGTGCAATGGCGCAATCTCGGCTCACCGCAACCTCCACCTCCTGGGTTCAGGCAATTCTCCTGCCTCAGCCTCCTGAGTAGCTGGGACTACAGGCGTGCGCCACCATGCCCAGCTCATTTTTGTACTTTTAGTAGAGACGGGGTTTCACCTTGTTGACCAGGGTGCTCTCGATCTCTTGACCTTGTGATCCACCCGCCTCAGCCTCCCAAAGTGCTGGGATTACAGGCGTGAGCCACCGCACCCAGCCTCAGAATTTTCTTTTTTTGAGATGGAGTTTTATTGTCACCCAGGCTGGAGTGCAGTGGCACAATCTCAGCTCACTACAACCTCCGCCTCCCAGGTTCAAGCAATCCTCCTGCTGAGCACTCCAGTAGCTGGGATTACAGGTACATGCCACTATGCCTGGCTAATATTTCTATTTTTAGTAGAGATGGAGTTTCACCATGTTCGCCAGTCTGATCTCGAACTCCTGACAGGTGATTCACCCACCTTGACCTCCCAAAGTGCTGGGGTTACAGGCGTGAGCCACTGTGCCCGGCATTTTTGTATTTGTGGTAGAGACAGGGTTTCATCATACCGGTCAGGCTGGTCTTGAACTGTTGACCTCGTGATCTGCCTGCCTCAACCTCCCAAAGTACTGAGATTACAGGTATGAGCCACCACCAGCAAAGTGTTTGTCATGTGCTGAGCTCCATGCACCATTAGAATATAAGGTCCTTGAAGTAGTAACCTCATGTCTTGTTTATTGCTATTTACCCAGTGACCAGAACAATGGCTGGGTAATGTTGGTGCCTAATGTATGTGTATTTTTAAATGGATGATGGGCTAGGCATGGTGGCTCACGCCTATAATCTCAGCACTTTACGAGGCCAAGGTGGGGTTGAAGACTAGCCTGGCCAACATGGCAAAACCCCATCTCTACTAAATACAAAAATTAGCCAGGTGTGGTGGCACAGGCCTGTAATCCTAGCTACTTGGGAGACTGAGGCAGGAGAATCACTTTAACCCGGGAGATGGCTGTTGCGGTGAGCCAAGATATCGTATATTGTACCACTACATTCCAGCCTGGGTGACAGAGCAAAGCAAAGCAAAGATGAATAGACGTGGCCAAGAGCTGAGAGAGGAGTCTGGACTGACTCAGAACTTCCGTCAAAAAGACTGATTGGGGCCGGGCGCGGTGGCTCAAGCCTGTAATCCCAGCACTTTGGGAGGCCGGGGCGGGTGGATCACGAGGTTAAGAGATCGAGACCATCCTGGTCAACATGGTGAAACCCCGTCTCTACTAAAAATACAAAAAATTAGCTGGGCATGGTGGCGCGTGCCTGTAATCCCAGCTACTCAGGAGGCTGAGGCAGGAGAATTGCTTGAACCCAGGAGGCAGAGGTTGCGGTGAGCCGAGATTGCGCCATTGCACTCCAGCCTGGGTAACAAGAGCGAAACTCTGTCTCAAAAAAAAAGACTGGCCGGGCGCGGTGGCTCAAGCCTGTAATCCCAGCACTTTGGGAGGCCGAGGCGGGTGGATAAGGAGGTCGAGAGATCGAGACCATCCTGGTCAACATGGTGAAACCCCGTCTCTACTAAAAATACAAAAAAATTAGCTGGGCATGGTGGCACGTGCCTGTAATCCCAACTACTCAGGAGGCTGAGGCAGGAGAATTGCCTGAACCCAGGAGGCGGAGGTTGCGGTGAGCTGAGATCGCGCCATTGCACTCCAGCCTGGGTGACAAGAGTGAAACTGTCTCAAAAAAAAAAAAAAAAAAAAAAAAGACTGATTGGGGCCGGACACGCCTGTTACCCCAGCACTTTGGGAGGCCGAGACCAGCCAATGCAAAAATTAGCTGTGCACCTGTAATCCCAGCTACTCGGGAGGCTGGGGCAAAACAATCACTGAACCGGGGAGGTGGAGGTTCCAGTGAGCCAAGATCACACCTCTGTGCTTCATCCTGGGTGACAGAGTGAGACTGATTGGATGGATGGAGGTGCCAACGACCACGAGGGGCACCCAGGAAGGAGGGTGGGCTACAGGGAACAAGGGGTGAGCTGTTCCCCACACATGGCCTGTGCAGTGGCTACTGAACATTCCTGGGTGTGGGTGAGTAGGGAGTTACGGAGGCATTTTAATGTGATCGAGGCTAATGCCACACAGTGCTCCTAGCCAGATGCGTGCCAGCTGATCTTCCACGATTTCTCTCTCAGATACCCCACCTGGTGGCCCATCCTCACCTGGGAACCAGTCAACATGCCTTCTGGAAGTCTCTCTTGCCACTCCAAAGAAAGGTGAGCCTCAAGCCAGGTACCTACATGTATTAATCTACACAGAGCAGATGACCCAACGGAGCTTAGGCCAAGCACAGATGCACGACTTATTTCTTCTGAAACAGAGTCTCACGCTGTCACCCAGGCTGGAATGTGGTGGGCTGATCTCAGGTCACTGCAACCTCCGCCTCCCAGTTCAAGCAATTCTCCTGCCTCGGTTTCCCAAGTAGCTGGGATTACAGGCACTTGCAACCACGCCCGGCTAATTTTTTATTTTTAGTATAGATGGGTTTCACCCCCGTGATCCACCTGCCTCGGCCTCCCAAAGTGCTGGGATTACAGGCCTGAGCCACCATGCGGGGTGAGAAGAGAAGATCTTTACAGAGGACTAAGGTTCTCAGATTCCTTCTTGAAAACTGTCTCAAGGATACTGGGGAGCAAGTGGGTGCTAGGCCATGGTTTTTTTTTGAGAAGTCTTGCTCTGTTGCCCAGGCTGGAGTGATCTTGGTTCACTGCAACCTCCACCTCCTGGATTCAAGCAATTCTCTCATCTCAGCCTCCCAAGTAGCTGGGACTACAGGCACATGCCCTCTTTGACCCAGACGAGGAGTACTTTTCCTCATGAACTCCTTAGAGGTTGCTGATGAGTATTCCACAAAACCTTCCTTCCTCTTCCCTAGATCCCCAGGAAACCTACAGGGATTACGTCCGCAGGAAATTCCGGCTCATGGAAGACCGCAATGCGCGCCTAGGGGAATGTGTCAACCTCAGCCACCGGTACACCCGGCTCCTGCTGGTGAAGGAGCACTCAAACCCCATGCGGGCCCAGCAGCAGCTTCTGGACACGGGCCGGGAACACGCGAGGACCGTGGGACACCAGACCAGCCCCATCAAGATAGAGACCCTCTTTGAGCCAGATGAGGAGCGCCCCGAGCCACCGCGCACCGTGGTCATGCAAGGGGCGGCGGGAATAGGCAAGTCCATGCTGGCTCACAAGGTGATGCTGGACTGGGCGGACAGGAAGCTCTTCCAAGGCAGGTTTGATTATCTCTTCTACATCAACTGCAGGGAGCTGAACCAGAGTGCCGCGGAACGCAGCATGCGAGACCTCATCTCCAGCTGCTGGCCGGAGCCCTGCGCGCCTCCGCGGGAGCTAGTGCGCGTTCCCGAGCGTCTCCTTTTCATCATCGACGGCTTCGATGAGCTCAAGCCCTCTTTCCACGATCCTCAGGGACCCTGGTGCCTCTGCTGGGAGGAGAAACGGCCCACGGAGCTGCTCCTTAGCAGCTTAATTCGGAAGAAGCTCCTCCCTGAGCTCTCTCTGCTCATCACCACGAGGCCCACGGCGCTGGAGAAGCTCCACCGTCTGCTGGAGCACCCCAGGCACGTGGAGATCCTGGGCTTCTCGGAGGCGGAGAGGAAGGAGTACTTCTACAAGTATTTCCAAGATGCAGAGCAGGCAGGCCACGTCTTCAACTACGTGAGGGACAACGAGCCTCTCTTCACCATGTGCTTCGTGCCCTTGGTGTGCTGGGTGGTCTGCACCTGCCTCCAGCAGCAGCTGGAGGGTGGGGGGCTGCTGAGACAGACATCCAGGACCACCACTGAGGTGTACATGCTCTACCTGCTGAGTCTGATGCAACCCAAGCCCGGGACCCCGCAGCTCCAGCCCCCTCCCAACCAGAGAGGGTTGTGCTCCCTGGCGGCAGACGGGCTCTGGAATCAGAAAATCCTGTTTGAGGAGCAGGATCTCCGGAGACATGGCCTCCACGGGGCGGACGTGTCCGCCTTCCTCAACATGAACATCTTCCAGAAGGACATCAACTGTGAGAGGTACTACAGCTTCATCCACCTGAGCTTCCAGGAATTCTTCGCCGCTATGTACTATCTCCTGGACGAGGGCGAGCGTGGGGCAGGCCCGGAGCAGGACGTTCACAGGCTCTTGGCCGAGTACGAGTTTTCCGAAAGGAGCTTCCTGGCGCTCACCATCCGCTTCCTCTTCGGGCTGCTGAACGAGGAGACCAGGAGCCACCTGGAGAAGAGTCTCTGCTGGAAGGTCTCGCCGCACATCAAGACGCGGCTGTTGCAGTGGATCCAGAGCAAAGCGCAGAGCGCGGGCTCCACCCTGCAGCAGGGCTCCCTGGAGTTCTTCAGCTGCTTGTACGAGATCCAGGAGGAGGAGTTCATCCAGCAGGCCCTCAGCCACTTCCAGGTGATCGTGGTCAGCAACATCGCCTCCAAGATGGAGCACATGGTCTCCTCCTTCTGCCTGAAGAACTGCAGGAGTGCCCAGGTGCTGCACTTGTACGGCGCCACGTACAGTGCGGACAGGGAAGACCGGGCCAGGTGCTCTGCAGGGACCCACACGCTGTTGGTGCAGCTGTAAGTATCCCTGGGGCTGCCCAGGTTCATGCATGCATGCATGCATTCACTCCTTCCTTCTGAAACGAAGTCTCTCTCGGTCTCCTAGGCAGGAGTGCCATGGCACAATCTCAGCTCACTGCAGCCTCTGCCTCCCAGGTTCAAGCGATTCTCCTGCCTCAGCCTCTGGAGTAGCTGGAATTTCAGGCGTGCACCATCACGGCCAGCTAATTTTGTATTTTTAGTAGACACAGGGTTTCTCCATGTTGGTCAGGCTGGTTTCAAACTCCCGACCTCAGGCGATCCGCCCGCCTCGGCCTCCCAAAGTGCTGGGATTACAGGCGTGAGTCACCATGTCCAGCCTTTTTTTTTTTTTTTTTTTTTTTGAGATGAAGTCTCTCTCGGTCTCCTAAACTGGAGTGCAGTGGCATAATCTTGGCCCACTGCAGCCTCTGCCTCCCAGGTTCAAGAGATTCTCCTGCCTCAGCCTCCTCAGTAGCTGGGATTACAGGCACCAACCACCATGCCATGCCAGGATAATGTTTTTAATTTTAGTGGAGACGGGGTTTCGCCATGTTAGCCAGGCTGGTCTTGAATTCCTGACCTTAAGTGGTCTGCCCGCCTTGGTCTCGAGGTTCATGCTCTTGACCAGTGCCTCTCAACTAGGGGTGACTTTGTTCTGATACTTGGCAGCTATCTGGAGACTATTTTTGGCTGTCACAACTGGGAATCAAGTAACACTACTGACATCTAGTGGATAAAACTGGGAGTGCTGCCCGCCTCCTGCAATACACAGAACACTCCCTCTGGCTCCAAGTGTGAATACTGCCACCGTAGAGATTAAACACCATGCCCTGGGGCTAAATTGAGGTTGATGTCAAGGAGCATGTATTCAATCAACAAATATTATTAAGTCCCTTTTTCTCAGCGTCACCCAGGCAGGAGTCCAATGGCGCAATCTTAGCTCACCGCAACCTCCGCTTCCCGGGTTCAAGCAATTCTCCTGCCTCAGCCTCACAAGTAGCTGGGACTACAGGCACATGCTACCACACCCGGGTAATTTTTTTGAATTTTTAGTACAGACAGCGTTTCACTGTATTAGCCAGAATGGTCTTCATCTCCTGGCCTGTGATCTGGCCACCTTGGCCCCCTTTTTCAAGACTGAGTAACCAAGCTCTGTAACCTCAAGTGATCCACACATCTCGGCCTCCCAAAGTGCTGAAGTTACAGGTGACAGCCACTGCACCCGGCTCTATGTCCCTTTTATCTGTCTACATAACAATCTTGTGTAGACAGAAAACAGTGTGAATAAGCCACTGCTCGCAACGGAGCACCCATCCTAATGAGAACAGAGACAGATAATAAAGAGGCAAACGAATAAACCAACTAATTGATTCAAAGTTTCAGATAGAGTCAGGTGCAGCCTGGACAACATGAGACCCCAACCTCTAAAAAAATTAATTAGCTGGGCATGATGGTGCACACCTGTAGTCTCAGTTTCTTGGGAGAATTGCTTAAGCCTGGGAGGTCAGCCCTGCAGTGAACCTAGATCTCACCATGCACTCCAGCCTAGACAACAGAGCAAGACCCTCGCCTGCTCCGCCCACCCCGCCCCAGCCAAAAAAACAAAAAAAAATTAAAAGATAGCATGCTTCGGCCACGCACGGTGGCTGCAACCATAATCCCAGCACTTTGGGAGGCCAAACCAGGCATATTACCTGAGTCCAGGAGTTCCAGATCAGCTGAGCCAACATGGTAAAACCCTGTCTCTACTAAAAATACAAAAATTAGGCCAGGCGCAGTGACTCACGCCTATAATCCCATCACTTTGGGAGGCCGAGGCAGGTGGATCACGAGGTCAAGAGATCGAGACCATCCTGGTCAACATGGTGAAACCCCATCTCTACTAAAAATACAAAAATTAGCTGGACATGGTGGCGCACACCTGTAGTCCCAGCTACTAGGGAGTATGAGGCAGGAGAATTGCCTGAACCCAGGAGGCAGAGGTTGCAGTGAGCCGAGATTGCACTCTAGCCTGGGTAACTAGGGCGAAACTCTGTCTCAAAAAAAAAAAAAAAAAAAAAATTAGCGGGGTGTGGTGGTGCATGCCTATAATCCCAGCACTTTGAAAGGCTGAGGTGGGTGGATCACCAGAGGTTGGGAGTTTGAGACCAGCCTAACCAACATGGTGAAACCCCGTCCCTACTAAAAATACAAAAACAGCCAGGTGTGGTGGCCCATGCCTGTAATCCCAGCTACTCGGGAGACTGAGACAGGAGAATTGCTTGAACCTGGGAGGTGGAGGTTGTGGTGAGCTGAGATCGCACCACTACATTCCAGCCCGGGCAACAAGAGCAAAACTCCATCTAAAAACAAAATACAAAATTAGCCAGGCCTGGTGGCACATGCCTATAATCCCAGCTACCTGGGAGGCTGAGGCAGAAGAATCGCTTGAACCCGGGAGGCAGAGGTTGCAGTGAGCTGATATCGTGCCATTTCACTCCAGGCTGGGCAACAAGAGCAAAACTCCATCTCAAAAACAAAGTAAGAATAATAGCATGCTTCATAAACTGTGAAGTGACATGCAAAGGCCATAATTGTCAAGCACCCAGTAACACCAGAGTGGCCTGTCTTTCCTCCATGCAGACCAGAGAGGACCGTTCTGCTAGACACCTACAGTGAACATCTGGCCTCGGCCCTATGCACCAATCCGAACCTGATTGAGCTGGCTCTGTACCGCAATGCCCTGGGCAGCCGGGGGGTGAAACTGCTCTGTCAAGGACTCAGACACCCCAACTGCAAACTTCAGAACCTGAGGTGAGTGCGGGCTGGTCTGGGACTTTCTGGTGGTCCCTGCCTTGGGCTCTCATGGGGCTCGGTCACAAATGTTGTCTCATGGGATGGTGTATTCGTTAGCTGGAGCAGCCAGTGATAAGTGCCACAAAGCAGGGCATGGTGGCTCACACCTGTAATCCCAGCACTTTGGGAGGCCGAGGCAGGCGGATCACCTGAGGTCAGGAGTTTGAAATCAGCCTGACCAACATGGTGAAACCCCGTCTCTACTAAAAATACAAAACATTAGCTGGGCATAGTGGCACGTGCCTGTAATCCCAGCTACTCAGGAGGCTGAGGCAGGAGAATTGCCTGAACCCAGGAGGCGGAGGTTGTGGTGAGCCGAGATCGCGCCATTGCACTCCAGCCTGGGTAACAAGAGCGAAACTCCGTCTCAAAAAAAAAAAAAAAAAAAAAAAAAAAAAAAAAGCAAAGGAAATGACTGGTTCTTTTTTATTTCCACCCAGGCTGAAGCGGTGCGGCGTCTCCAGCTCAGCCTGCGAAGACCTCTCTGCAGCTCTCATAGCCAATAAGAATTTAACAAGGCTGGATCTCAGCGGCAATGGTATTGGACTCCCAGGCATGACGCTGCTTTGCGAGGGCCTGCGGCATCCCCGATGCAGGCTGCAGATGATCCAGTGAGTCTCCATCCCCGGGAGCAAGTTCCTAAGCTCACTGTCTCTCTCCCGGAGCATGAAATTTCATAAAACGCTGGTACCCCCCAGATCTCCACCTCTGAATCAGGGCTGGCCCTTAACCCATTGACCTTCAACCCTGGCCCTGGACTCCACACTCAATTCCACAGGATGAGGAACCCCTGGGGCCACTTCCCCACCCCCCACCCCCACCTTTTCTTTATTTCCCCTAAGACAGGTTCTTTCTCTGTGGCCCAGACTGGAATGTAGTGGTGCGATCTTAGCTGACTGCAACCTCTACCTCCTGAGTTCAAGTGATTCTCCTGCCTTAGCCTCCCAAGTAGCTGGGATTACAGGCACCCACTACCACACCCAGCAAATTTTTTCTGTATTTTCAGTAGAGATGGGGTTTCCCCATGTTGGCCAGGATGGTCTTGAACTCCTACCCTCAGGTGATCCACCCATCTTGGCCTCCGAAAGTGCTGGAATTACAGGTGTGAGCCACTGCACCCAACCTACAAAAAAAAAAAAAAAATTTTTTTTTTTTTAATTAGCCAGGTATGGGCCAGGCGTGGTGGCTCATGCCTGTAATCCCAGCACTTTGGAAGGCCAGACGGGTGGATTACCTGATGTCGGGAGTTTGAGACCAGCCTGGCCAACATGTTGAAACCCTGATTCTACTAAAAATGCAAAAATTAGCCTGGTGTGGTGGCGCATGCCTGCAGTCCAGCCTATAGTCCCAGCTACTCAAAAGGCTGAGGCATAAGAATCTCTGGAAGGCGGAGGCTGCAGTGAGCCAAGATTTCGAAACTACACTCCAGCCTGGGCAACAGAGCAAGACTCCACCTCAAAAAGAAAAATTAGCTAGGTATGGTGGCACACACCTGTATTCCCAGTTACTCAGGAGGCTGAGGCAGGAGGATCGCTTGAGCGCAGAGGCCGATGCTTCCGTGAGTTGATATCACACCACTGAACACCAGCCTGGGTGACAGAGCAAGAAACTGTTTCTAAACAAATAATAAAATAGGCAGGGCGAGGTGGCTCACGTCTGTAATCCCCGCACTTTCAGAGGCTGAGGCGGGCAGATCATGAGGTCAGGAGATCGAGACCATCCTGGCTAACACAGTGAAACCTTATCTTCACTAAAAATACAAAAAATTAGCCAGGTGGGGTGGCGGGCGCCTGTAATCCCAGCTACTCAGAAGCCTGAGGCAGAAGAATTGCTTGAACCCTGGAGGTGAAGGTTGCAGTGAGCTGAGATCGCGCCACTGCACTTCGGCCTGGGTGACAGAGCAAGACTCTGTCTCTAAATAAGTAAAATAAAATAAACAGGCCAGGGCATGAGTGATCAGGACACAGAAAAGCAAGATGGCTCCGCCTTCAACCTCTCTTTCCTCCCAAGGTTGAGGAAGTGTCAGCTGGAGTCCGGGGCGTGTCAGGAGCTGGCCTCTGTGCTCAGCACAAACCCACATCTGGTTGAGCTGGACCTGACAGGAAATGCCCTGGAGGATTTGGGCCTGAGGTTTCTGTGTCAGGGACTGAGGCACCCAGCCTGCAGACTACGAACTTTGTGGTGAGTTCTTCCTGAGCTCAACTATAATAAAATGGCAAATCCCTTCATACTAAATGAAGGTATAAAAATGCATCCACAGGTAGGGCATGGTGGCTCACGCTGGTAATCCCAGCACTTAGGGAGGCCGAGGTGGGCGGATCACTTGAGGTCAGGAGTTCAAGACCAGCCTGGCCAACATGGTGAATGAAACCCGGTCTCTACTAAAAATACAAAAATTACCTCCGGGCGCGGTGGCTCAAGCCTGTATGTAATCCCAGCACTTTGGGAGGCCGAGGCGGTGGATCATGAGGTCAAGAGATCGAGACCATCCTGGTCAACATGGTGAAACCCCGTCTCTACTGAAAATACAAAAAATTAGCTGGGCATGGTGGTGCGTGCCTGTAATCCCAGCTACTCAGGAGGCTGAGGCAGGAGAATTGCCTGAACCCAGGAGGCGGAGGTTGCAGTGAGCTGAGATCGCGCCATTGCACTCCAGCCTGGGTAACAAGAGCGAAACTCCGTCTCAAAAAAAAAAAAAAAAAAAAAAGATTTCGGGGTTGGGCACAGTGGCTCACACCTATAATCCCAGTCCTTTGGGAGGCCGAGGTGGGTGGATCATCCAAGGTCAGGAGCTTGAGACTGGGACTAGCCTCACCAACGTGGTGAAACCCAGTCTCTACTAAAAATACAAAAATTAGCCAGGAGTGGTGGCAAGTGTTTGTAGTCCCAGCTACTTGGGAGGCTGAGGCAGAAGAATCACTTGAACCCGGGACGGGCGGGTTGCAGTGAGCCGAGATTGCAACACTCCACTCCAGCCTGGGGGACAGAGTGAGATTCTGTCTCAAAATTTCGTAAGTCTCCATGACGCTGTTAAATTGGATTTTGTTTTGTGCAGGCTGAAGATCTGCCACCTCAATGCTGCTGCCTGTGAAGGGCTGGCCTCAACCCTCAGCGTGAACCAGAGCCTGACGGAGCTGGACCTCAGCCTCAATGACCTGGGGGACCCCGGGGCACTGCTGCTGTGTGAGGGCCTCAGGCATCCCACCTGCAAGCTCCAGACCCTCCGGTGAGCCCCCATCCACGAACCCAGCCCCTCACCTGGGACTGCAGAGGCCATGCTGCCTCTGCTCAACTCTAGCTACTACAGCAACCTTTTTCACCCCCCGGAGATGGAGTCTTGCTGTGTTGCCCAGGCTGGAGTACAGTGGTGCCATCTTGGCTCACTGAAACTTCTACCTCCCGGGTTCAAGCAAGTCTCCCGCCTCAGCCTCCCATGTAGCTGGGACTACAGGCGCACACTGCCACTCCTAGTTAATTTTCTGTGTTTTAGTAGAGACGAGGGTTCACTGTGTCACCCAGGCTGGTCACAAACTTCCGAGCTCAGGCAATCAGCCCGACTTGGCCTTCCAAAGTGCTGTGACTACAGGCATGAGCCAGCACACCCGGCCCTACATCAGCATTTTTTGTTTGTTTGGTTTTGTTTTGTTTTGTTTTTTATTGAGACAGAGTTTTGCTCTGGTTGCCCAGGCTGGATTGCAGTGGCGCAATCTCAGCTCACTGCAACCTCCACCTCCCAAGTTCAAGCGATTCTCCTGCCTCAGCCTCCTGAGTAGCTGGGATTATAAACTTGTAACACCACGCCTGGCTAATTTTTCTATTTTTACAAAATACAAAATGAGAAAAAAAGTTAGAGATGTTGGTTAGCCTCGCCTCGAACGCCTGACCTCATGATCCGCCCACCTCAGCCTCTCAAAGCACTGGGATTACAGGCTTCAGCCAGTATGCCCGGCCCCCTCAGCCTTTGTTAAAGGCTTTTTCTGACACACAGTCCTTTACACAAGCAATTCTTGTTCCCTAGAACGCCCTCCTGCTCTGTTCCCTCTTTGCCCAGAGAAATTCAGCTTTTCTTCTGAACACTCTATTTAGACACTTTTGTTATCTTGAGACAGGGTCTTGCTGGCTGCCCAGGCTGGAGTGCAGTGAAGTGATCACGGTTCACTGTACCCTCAACCTTCTGGGCTGAAGCCGTTCTCCCATCTCAGCCTCCTGAGTACCTGGGGCCGCAGGCACACACCACACCTGGCTAAAATTTTGTGTGTGTGTGTGTGTGTGTGTGTGTGTGTGTGAGAGAGAGTTTTGCTCTTGTTGCCCAGGCTTGAGTGCAATGGCGCAATACCTGGGTAATTTTTATTGTTTTCTAAGAATAAGGTCTTGATTTGTTGCCTAGGCTGGTCTCAAACTCCTGGCCTTAGGAGATCCTCTGGCCTTGGCCCCCACCAGAGTGCTGGGATTCCAGGTATGAGCCACTACACCCAGCTGATACCCTGTCTAATCCCCAGCTATGATTTGGGTTCCTAGATTTGTGATCCTATGTGACCTCATAGGATCTCTCCCTCAGCATCACTTAATGAAATTTGAAGGCTGGGCTCGGTGGCTCACCCCTGTAATCCCAGCCCTTTGGAAGGCCAAGGTGGGTGGAGGAGCTAAAGTCAGGAGTTCAAGACTAGCCTGACATGGTGAAACACCGTGTCTATTAAAAATAGAAAAATTAGGCCGGGCGCGGTGGCTCAAGCCTGTAATCCCAGCACTTTGGGAGGCCGAGGCGGGTGGATCACAAGGTCGAGAGATCGAGACCAACCTGGTCAACATGGTGAAACCCCGTCTCTACTAAAAATACAAAAAACTAGCTGGGCATGGTGGCGCGTGCCTGTAATCCCAGCTACTCGGGAGGCTGAGGCAGGAGAATCGCCTGAACCCAGGAGGTGGAGGTTGCGGTGAGCCAAGATCGCGCCATTGCACTCCAGCCTGGGTAACAAGAGCGAAACTCCGTCTCAAAAAAAAAAAAAGAAAAAGAAAAAAAAAGAAAAATTAGCCGGGCATGGTGGCAGGCACCTGTATTCCAGGCACTCAGGAGGCTGAGGCAGAAGAATCACTTGAACCCAGGAGGTGGAGGTTGCAGTGAGCTGAGATTGAGCCACTGCACACTCCAGCCTTGGCTACGAGAGTGAGACTCCATCTCAAAAAATAACTTTGTGATCTGTGTGTGTGTGTGTGTAGTAGCATTCTGCAAGGGTAGGAGCTATTCCAACTCTATCTCCTAGTGACTAGCACAAGATGTGGGTAGAGATGCTCAGAAATACACATTTTGAGTATTTTTTTTTTTAATCAAGGCACCAGCAAAAAAACAAAACAAAAAAAATTACACAAGCAATTCTCGTTCCCTAGAATTACACACAATTTTTTTTTTTTTTTTTTTGAGATGGGCTGTTGCTGTGTTGCCTACGCTGGAGTCCAGTGGCTATTCACAGGCAGGGTCACAGTGAACTACAGCCTCCAACTCCTGGGGTCAAGGGATCCTCCGGCGTCAGCCTCCACAGTAGTGGTTGGGAATACAGGTACACACCACCATGTCCAGCAAACTATCTGCTTTTTGCAGTTTCATTCTGTCATCCTGGCTGAAGTGCAGTGGCTCCACCTCGGCTCACTGCAACCACCACCTCCCAGGTTCAAGCACGTCTCCAGCCTCAGCCTCTTTAGTGGGATTACAGGCACACCCCACCACACCTGGCTAATTTTTCTATTTTTGGTAGAGCCAAGGTTTGGCCAGGCTGGTCTTGAACTCCTGACCTCAATGATCTACCTACCTAGGCTTCCCAAAGTTCTGGGATTACAGACATGAGCCACCCTGCCTGGCCCCAACTAATGTTTTTTCCCTCTTTTCTTTGTTTCTTTTCTTTTTTTTTTTTTGAGACGGAGTTGTTTTGCTCTTGTTACCCAGGCTGGAGTGCAATGGCGCGATCTCGGCTCACCACAACCTCCGCCTCCTGAGTTCAAGCAATTCTCCTGCCTCAGCCTCCTCAGTAGCTGGGATTACAGGCACGTGCCACCATGCCCAGCTAATTTTTTGTATTTTTAATAGAGACGGGGTTTCACCATGTTGACCAGGAGGGTCTCCATCTCTTGACCTCGTGATCCACCCGCCTCGGCCTCCCAAAGTGCTGGGATTACAGGCTTGAGCCACCGCGCCCGGCCTTTTTTTCTTTTCTTTTTGAGGAGTCTCATTCTATCTGCCAGGCTGGACTGCAGTGACGAAATATGGACTCACTGCAACCTCCACCTCCTGGGTTCAAGTGACTGAACCACCTCAGCCTCTGGAACAGCTGTGACTACAGATATGTGTCACCACGCTCAGCTGATTTTGGGGATTTTCTTTTTCTTTTTTTGAGACGGAGTTTCGCTCTTGTCACCCAGGCTGGAGTGCAATGGCACGATCTTGGCGCACCACAACCTCTGCCTCCTGGGTTCAGGCAATTCTCCTGCCTCAGCCTCCTGAGTAGCTGGGATTACAGGCACGTGCCACCACGCCCAGCTAATGTTTTGTATTTTTAGTAAAGACGGGGTTTCACCATGTTGACCAGGATGGTCTCGATCTCTTGACCTTGTGATCCGCCTGCCTCGGCCTCCCAAAGTGCTGGGATTACAGGCGTGAGCCACCGCGCCCGGCGGTTCAAGCAATTCTCCTGCCTCATCCTCCTGAGATGGGACTTGAGGCGCATACCACCACAGACAACTAATTTTTATGTTTCTAGTAGAGATGGGGTTTTACCATGTTGATCAGGCGGGTTTTGAACCCCTGACCTCGTGGTCTGCCCGCCTCAGACTCCCAGTGCTGGGGTCACAGGTGTGAGCCACCACACAGGGCTTCTTTCTGTTCTTGTATGCTTCCCATCCTTTCATCTTCCTAGTTCAGTCTTAGCTTTTTGTCATCTCAAGGGTAAAGACTGAGTGTGTCCCTGTCTGCAACCAGCACAGGACTGACACAGGGCCCTCCCGGCAGGTGTTTGCAGGAAGAATGCTTCCCAGTCTGATCTGGCATCCTGTCTTTGCAGGCTGGGCATCTGCCGGCTGGGTGCTGCCGCCTGTGAAGGTCTTTCTGCGGTGCTCCAGGCCAACCACCACCTCCGGGAGCTGGACCTGAGCTTCAACGACCTGGGAGACTGGGGCCTGTGGCTGCTGGCCGAGGGGCTGCAGCATCCCACCTGCAGACTCCAGAAACTGTGGTGAGCATCAGGGAGTGAGCCGGGGACGATGGAAGTGCTTTCCCATCCTGCATTTTCCTATTTACCAAGTATCCTGCCTTCTCCACAAAAGATTCAGGTAGAAGAGAGGTGGAAAGACAAGACCAGAAGTCTCTCTGAATTTATTCTTGATTTGGGGGTGCTGCCACATTAAAAAAAAAAAAAAATTTAGGCCGGGTGCGGTGGCTCAAGCCTGTAATCCCAGCACTTTGGGAGGCCGAGGCGGGTGGATCACAAGGTCGAGAGATCGAGACCATCCTGGTCAACATGGTGAAACCCCGTCTCTACTACAAATACAAAAAATTAGCTGGGCATGGTGGCACGTGCCTGTAATCCCAGCTACTCAGGAGGCGGAGGTTGCGGTGAGCCGAGATCGCGCCATTGCACTCCAGCCTGGGTAACAAGAGCGAAACTCCGTCTCAAAAAAAAAAAAAATAAAAAAATTTAGCCAGGCATGGTGGCTTATGCCTGTAATCCCAGCACTTTGGGAGGCCGAGGCAGGTGGATCATGAGGTCAGAAGTTCGAGACCAGCCTGGCCAGCATGGTGAAACCTTAACTCTACTAAAAATCTGAAAAATTAGCCGGGCATGGTGGCGGGTGACTGTCATCCCAGCTACTTGGGAGGCTGAGGCAGAAGAATCACTTGAACCCAGGAGGTGGAGGTTGCAGCGAGCCAAGATCATCGCGGCGTTGCTGTCCAGCCTGGGAAACATAATAAGACGCCATCTCAAAAAAAAAAAAAAAAAAAAAAAAAAAAAAAAGTAGCCTTAACCAGCTCCTTATTTTCAACAGGCTGGATAGCTGTGGCCTAACAGCCAAGGCTTGTAAGAATCTGTACTTCACCCTGGGGATCAACCAGACCTTGACGGAGCTTTATCTGACCAACAACGCCCTAGGGGACACAGGTGTCCGACTGCTCTGCAAGCGGCTTAGCCATCCTGGCTGCAAACTCCGAGTTCTCTGGTGAGGGATGATGACAGATTCTCTCTGGAGGAGGCTGGACATTGGGCTGGGAGCATGAGGGGTAGCTAAGCTGATGGGTACTTTAATGCACTGGCCTATGCAATGAGGAGGCACACAGCTGAGGCTAAGCATTACCTCTTGAAGATACTGAGGTCATCCAGCTATGTGACCTTGGATAACCTCCTTGTCTGTGGAAGGGGACCACCGTGGCTTACCTATCGCACTGGAGCTTGCTGTAATTTCAGTGAGAATCTAGAATTACTCTGCTTGGATTCAAATTCCAGTCGCCCTTTTTTTTTTTTTTGAGATGGAGTTTTGCTCTGTCGCCCAGACTGGAGTGCAATGGTGCCATCTTGGCTCACTGAAACCTCCGCCTCCTGGGTCGAGCAATTCTCCTGCCTCAGCCTCCCAAGTAGCTGGGATTATAGACACGCGCCACCACACCTGGCTAATTTTGTATTTTTAGTAGAAACGGTTTCTCCATCTTGGTCAGGCTGGTCTCAAACTCCTGACCTCAGGTGATCTGCCCACCACAGTCTCCCAAAGTGTTGGGATTACAGGCGTGAGCCACTGAGCGGCCTTTTATTTTTAACAGGATCTTGCTGTCACCCAGGCTGGAACGCAGTTATGCAATCAAAGTTTAGGCCAGGTGCAGGGCATGGTACCTGTTTTCCCAGTACTTTGACAGGCTGATGTGGGAGAATTGCTTGAGCTCAGAAGTTTGAGACCAGCTTGGGCAACATGAAAAAATCCCATCTTTAGGAGAAACACGCATGTGCGCAGGCAGACAGACAGACACACACACACACACACACACACACCCCCACCCACCCGTGGTCCCAGCTACTCAGGGTTCTAAGATGAGAGGATCCTTTGAGCCCATGAGGTTGAGGTTGCAGTGAGCCATTATTACACCAATGCACTCCAGCCTGGGCAACAGAGTGAGCCTCAGTCTCAAAAAAAAAATTACGCCAAATTCAGCTGGGCACAGTGGCTCACCCCTGTAATCCCAGCATTTTGGGAGGTCGAGGTGGGTGAATCACATGAGGTCCCATGGGAGTTCAAGACCAGCTTGACCAACATGGAAAAACCCCATCTCTACAAAAAATACAAAATTCACTGGGCTTGGTGGTACATGCCTGTAATCCCAGCTACTAGGGAGGCGGAAGCAGAATTGCCTGAACCTGGGAGGTAGAGGTTGTAGTGAGCCGAGATTGTGCCACTGCACTATAGCCTGGGCAACAGACCGAGACTCCATCTCCAAAAAAAAAAATTATGTGAGTTAAAACAGCGTGGGGACTTGTGTGTGGCATGCAGTAAGCTTGCTTTCCAACAGTATCTACCTGTAGGTAGATACTTTGGGCTTATTAATGGAATGCCACAGTAGTGGACTATGATAACATCAACTCTTGTGTCCACAGGTTATTTGGAATCGACCTGAATAAAATGACCCACAGTAGGCTGGCAGCACTTCGAGCAACAAAACCGTACTTGGACATTGGCTGCTGAGTGGTCCTATCTACTGGCTCCACTTGAAATCTGGACAGAGGAAGATGGGAGTGTGCTTATCATCCCCACAGCCTCATGATCAGGATCCTTCCTACAAACTCATGCAGACTAACATCAAAAGTCCCTCTGCGCAGGGGCCATGAGATCGAGACCATCCTGGTCAACATGGTGAAACCCCGTCTCTACTAAAAATACAAAAAAAATAGCTGGGCATGGTGGCGTGTGCCTGTAATCCCAGCTACTCAGGAGGCTGAGGCAGGGGAATTGCTTGAACCCAGGAGGCAGAGGTTGCGGTCGGCCGAGATCACGCCATTGCACTCCAGCCTGGGTAACAAGAGCGAAACTCCATCTCAAAAAAAAGTCCTGGCCGGGCACGGTGGCTCAAGCCTGTAATCCCAGCACTTTGGGAGGCCGAGGCGGGTGGATCACAAGGTCAAGAGATCGAGACCATCCCGGTCAACATAGTGAAACCCCGTCTCTACTAAAAATACAAAAAATTAGCTGGGCGTGGTGGCCCGTGCCTGTAATCCCAGCTACTCAGGAGGCTGAGGCAGGAGAATTGCCTGAGCCCAGGAGGCGGAGGTTGCGGTGAGCCGAGATCGCGCCATTGCACTCCAGCCTCGGTAACAAGAGTGAAACTCCGTCTCAAAAAAAAAAAAAACAAAAAAAAAACAAAAAAAAAAAGTCCCTCTGCTTGGGACCAAATTAACGTGTGACGGCCCCTAACAGGACAGGTAAAACCCCAACAGGCGGCCAGGTGTGGTGCTCATGCCTGTAACCCCGGTACTTTCATGGGGGGGTGCGCGCAAGATGGTTGCTGAAGCCCAGGAGTTCAAGACCAGCCTAAGCCATATAGCAAGCCTCCACTATTACGAATTAGCCAACGTTCCAGCCTGGGTAACACGGTGAAATTTATTAGTACAACTTATTACCCAGGAGGAGGGCACATGCCTGTAGTCCCAGCTACTCTGGGAACTGAGGAGGATCTTTTAAGCCCAGGAGGACGAGGCCGCAGTGAGCTGTCATTGCACCACTGCACCCCAGCCTGGGCAACAGAAGATCTTGAAAAATGCCCAGTAGGGGGCCTCAGAAGGACACCCATCCCTGCAGAGCCCTGGCAGCATCCGGACCTAGTAATATCGAACTCTAGGGTGGGTGCCACTGCCACCTAGTGGACGACGATAGGAATGCACAGGACCAAAGCACTTGGTCCAAAGGCAAATTGTGCCAAGTTGAGGAAAGCCTGTTCTCCAATGTCACAGGCTACGTGGGGCACTCGGCACTTCGGAAGAGACTGGTATACAAGCTGACCCTGAGAATGCTTGTTATAGCCGGGGGTGGGGGGTGGTTCACACCTCTAATTCTAGCATCTTGGGAAGCCAAGGCAGCTGAATTGCCTGAGCTCAGGAGTTCCAGAACAGCCTGGGTAACATGGTGAAACGCTCTCTCTACTAAAATACAAAAAAAATTAGCTGGGCAGGCCGGGCGCGGTGGCTCAAGCCTGTAATCCTAGCACTTCTGGAGGCCGAGGCGGGTGGATCACGAGGTCAAGAGATCGAGACCATCCTGGTCAACATGGTGAAACCCCATCTCTACTAAAGATAAAAAAAAATTAGCTGGGCATGGTGGCACGTGCCTGTAATCCCAGCTACTCAGGAGGCTGAGGCGGGAGAATTGCCTGAACCCAGGAGGCGGAGGTTGCGGTGAGCCGAGATCGCGCCATTGCACTCCAGCCTGGGTAACAAGAGTGAAACTCCGTCTCAAAAAAAAAAAGTTATTTATCCAATATCCTTTATGTGCCTGAATTCAATCGTTTCTACAGCTGCTTCTGAAGCAAACAGAATTGACTACAAACCACCCCCGCCCACTCTCTGGCAGCCATATAGACCAAACCCTAACAAGCTTAAACTCAACTAAAGTGTAATTCCATCACTTTGGGAGGCCAAGGTGTGCGGATCACATGAGGTCAGAAGTTCTAGACCAGCCTTATCAACATGGTACCAATAGAATTTTTTTAAAAATACAAAAAATCTGCTGGGCCTGATGGCTCATGCCTGTAATCCCAGCTACTCAGGAGGCTGAGGCAGAATTGCCTGAACCCAGGAGGCAGAGGTTGTGGTGAGCTGAGATCACGCCATTGTACTGCAGCCTGGGTAACAAGAGCAAAAAAAAAATAACCTCAACAATTCCCAGGTTTCCCGTAGAATGACAGGCCCAGGTGGGTCAAGTAAAGGGGAAGTTTTATTGGTTACCATGAGGACTTCCCTCCGTCCAGGACACAACTGTTTTTTGAATTGCAGAGGCAAACAGCGGCACAAAACTCCCTTGAATATCAGAGCTTCCTCCACCTTCAGATATTGTGTGCAATGGGCAAAGCAGCTGGGTTTGGGAACAGCCCCGGGGGACAATGACCAGCAGCTCTGGAACCAATGATAGGGAGCCTCATACTTAAAATCCTAGATGGGCAGATCACCTGAGGTCAGGACTTTCAGACCAGCCTGGCCAACATGGTGAAACCCCATTCACTAAAAAAAAGTCGGGCATGGTGGCTTATAGCTGAAATCCCAGCTACTGGAGGCCAAGGCAGAATTGCTGGTCCCAGGAGCCAGAGGTCGAAGCTGCTCGGGAGGCCAGCCTACTGCTGGGCACAGTGGCTCATGCCTGTAATCCTAGCACTTTGGGAGGCTGAGGTGGGTGGCACCTGAGGTTAGGAGTTCAAAACCAGCCTGGCCAACATGGTGAATCCCCATCTATTAAAAAAAAAAAACCTAGTAAGGATGAACTTACACCTGGTGCTGTGGTCACCTCTGTCATGTCAAGAGAGGCCATCCTGCCCTGGCAAGATAGTAAAGTCCCGTCTGTAAAGGAGGGATGACTGGTAACTAGTAAGGTTCAGTCAAAGCTGGCCAATGATAGACCCAAATCTCTACAAATATTCACGGAGCATGGGGGCACACTGCTGTACTGCCAGCTACTAAGGGTGGCATGCGGGGGGTGCTTATGCAGGATCTATGGAGCCAGGGAGGTCTTCACTGGGAGCAGCCTGGGTGGGAGTTTCATTTTTAAAAATCCCACCACCACCATCTACCTCCAGAACTTTGTTCTTGAGATGGGTCTTGCTCTGTAGTGGCACTCTAGTGACTTCTGCCTTCTGGGTTCAGCCTCCTGGGAGCACTGACCAGAGGCATGTGCCAGAACGCCCAGCTAATTTAACGGAGATAGGCTTTAACCATATTGGCCAGTGATCTGCCCCTCCAGCCTCCCAAAGTGCTGGGTTTACTAAAACTTCCAAGTTCTAGCAGGGATAGAAGGGAAACAATACTAGCCATTTGTAAGAAGCAATGTACTTGGGTAGCAGAGGAAGCTCTGGGAAGGCTCAGGTCTGGGATCCCAGCACTTGTGGGTGGCTGAGCCCATTTGAAACCAACAGACCAGCCGGGAAACAAGATGCTGCTGTTCACATTTTATTTCAGAATCAAATTAGGAGGTGAGAGAGTGGCACAGTGTAGCAGGGTGCAAGAATTCCACCCCACGCTCTGGCCAAACACTATAATCAGCTGACATACAGGCTGTGTACCAGTTGAGGAACAGGGTAGGCAAATTCCCTTTAAACAACCAGGATTCCTGACGCCCCATCAAGCTTTTCCTTTACTGTTCATCTGTGGTCAAATGGCAGATCCTGCCCACCCCAGAATACATCCATTGTTATTAATGTAAGAAGGAGCATACACTGGTAAACAAACCCGGGAACTCCAGGTCAGAGCAGAAACTGCTGTCAGAGCCCACAGGGTGGGCCGGCCGGCTGCGTTGAAGCAGGATCGTTCCTGATTCCCTACTCACACAGGGCTCCCCAAAATGGAAGCACTTCCCACTACAGACAAAAGGAATAGCGCCTCTATTTTGGGGATCCCAGCATGAGCTGCTCGCAAGGGAACTGCCACCAATTTACCTTTCTTGCCAGAGGTTGGCCTCCAAACACATGTTAAATGTCACCAATAAATACTACTTGTTAAAAGGAATGTTAGCCAGGCCTAATGGCTCTGCCTGTAATCCAGGCATCTTGGGAGGCTGAAGTGGGTGGATCATGAGGTCAGGAGTTAAAGCCTGATCAACTTGGTGAAAACAGTCTACTAAAAATGCAAAAATTAGCTGGTTGTGGTGGCAGGGATATTTAATTTCAGCTGCAGTGAGCAGGGATGACTGTCCAGGCTGGAGCAAAACTTTTTAAAAAGGAAAATTTGAGGCTGGGCATCGTAGCTCACGCCTATAATCCAAATACTTTGGAGACCAAGGTGGGCAGATCACCGGAGGTCGGGAGTTCAAGACCAGCCTGACCAATACGGTGACACCGTATTTTTTAAAAAAGGAAAATTTGTTAAGTTGAAAGTTCTAAAAGCACAACACTGTCAAGTATTAATGCAGTTTACTTAAATCACAAAGGAGGCTTTAGTTATGCCTCTAAAGTGCTGGAATCCATGCCACGGCACCCAGCCAATTAATGCCCTACCAAGCTTTTCCACCCATGTTTTCCTGCCCACCCCAGAAAACAACTTTTTAGTGTCAATGAGAACATACACTGGTAACCCGCAGAACAGAAACCCCGGAATTCCAGGTCAGAGCAAAAGCTGCAGTCAGAGCCGCGGGGTGGCCCGGCAGGCTGCCTTGAAGCAGGATTGGTCCTGATGCCTATTCACACAAGGATTCCCCAAAATGGAAGCACTTTCCAGTACAGACCAAAAGAAAAGTGCCTCTATTTTGGGCATCCCAGCATGAGGTGTTAGTCTGCCACCAATGAACCTTTCTTGCCTGCAACAGGTTGGCCTCCATCATCCAAACACATGCTAAATGTCAGCAAGAGCAAAGTTACTCAAGTTGCAAAAGCAAAAATCATTCCATTCCTTCTTGTGCATCCAGCCCCTCTCCCAGCTGCTGTTTGAACGTTCCCTTCCTCAGTATCGAACCCAGATTTTCCCTTAGTGATACCGAGTGAAAGCTCAGGA